AATAGAGTTCTGTCAGAAGGCAGGAAAAGCGGCGAAAATCTCGAAACACGTCTAAAAAGTGACAAACAAAGAGACCGATGCGGCGTGGCGTGAGCTCGTGATCCACAACGAGACACTGATTCGTTACGATAAATTATCGCACGGATCAATCACGGTGTCTTTCTTGATTGAATCACGTTGGGCTCGAATTCAGCAAGTCAGAATCGTGTTTCCCGGAAGAGTTCTGCAACATTAGCGCTGGATCAACCAGCTTGGGGTTGAACGAACATGTCGGAGGCCTGGAAAGGCTCAAGAAAGCAGTCGTCAGATTCCTCTACCGCGCTCATTAGCTTCCTGGCGGCTCTTACCACACAACGTCTTCTCTACCCAACAAGGACCTGTCTCGAGAAGACAGTCTCGAGATCACGCGATCCGGGATAGATATATTTATCTAGCGTCAGTAATAGAGAGAAAAGTGCGAAGAACGACTCTCACGAACCGAAGTTTCGATGATATCATCGACTCCACCATCGGGTTCCGCTGTCGCGTCGGAACCCTGCGGGTGACCTTGCTACCCCTTCACCGCACCCTCAGATTCCGAATTGGATCCAATGCTTGATCCAGACGATCTTCCAGCAATGTTCGTGCGGCAACTTTCTCCGAAAAGTCACGCTCTCCTGATGAGCTGAATGAATCTTGAGGTAGTGAGTCTCTCCCTCTGAAATTCTCGGCGCTGGGTGTTGGACATGATTCGTTATGAGAGGACCAAGTATAACGAGAACCAGCGATGGCCGAGACTCTCCATGTGTCCGCGCAAGTTTAAAATTGCCATCTTCCAGGTAAGCATTGGCTTCACTACCGGGTTAAGCTGTGTAGTGCGATTCCAATCAAAAGACTCCGCTGGAGGAGATGGGCGTTTATCCAGAGTCCACTCTCGTATTTTCCAACGTCTCCGCTCTCGCTTCAAGTCCGAGCAGGAGTAGGGGATCGCTTAGGCGGTTTTCCCTCGCATTCACCGATTCGAAATATCTGAATTAATATCGAAGTCCGAGTTATCTGCTCAAGAGATTCGGACGGATCCCACCAGAGTAGAGTCACTGCTGTGGGTGTAAGCACCAGCAACCGCACTTTCTCAGCTAGGTCTCTCCCGGAGTGTGTCTTGTCCGAATCTTGAATGAGTCATCCTCTTCAGGCACGTTCCGTTCGCGGAGAATCTTCGAGCCGACTAAGATATTCTCAGCGTCCGGTATACGTTTGCTGTCGACCATTGCCCGATACCTAAGAATCCCTCTACTCTTCGAGAGTTCGACCGAAGTCTCAAGCTAGGAAGTCCTGGACCCGGGAGCGACACGGAACTTGAGAAGACGATTCAGCAAGGTGCATTTCTCACCGTCCTTCGAGCATCCAAGGAAAAATACGCTCTCACCCTCATACTATGACACTGCCATCGCGCTCCACAGAAGCTGTTCGGATCCTCAAGACCCGAATCGCTCCGGTCAGATCCACGTCAACTGAACGGGCCCACCGCTCCCACTCGGCTTGCACAGGTTCCGAGTCATACTATCATATCTCCTTGCTCCTGGCATGAGCTTGACAGTCTAACTTCTACGGTGAACACTTGGAACCTGGAGTGCATCTTGACTCTAGAGCGAATCATCGAATTCGAGTCGGCAGCCGGGATCGAATCCACCACACGGGGGTCCTTGCCAGCAAGGGCCTTCCCGAGCGGAGTCATTGCGAGGAGTCTCTGCGCCTCACGCGTGCTCGTACGACACTGGAACCCGGACAGACGAATTCGGCCGAACCGCGTCAAAAATGAATGGGGAACGCAGAGGCTCCCGGAGGGATACCGCAAGCACCACTCGCATACTGCGTCTATGAATCGACGATTTGCGCAGATCGTCGATTGAAGTCCATGAATACGGTCCACCTCATTTTCGATCCCGACATCCTTATTTTGTTCACTCACCAAGGAGGACAGCTGGACGGACGAAGAGAATGTATGTTGTAATTACCAACTCTGTAGCTCACTAACAACGCCCTGTACGGCGAAAGGGTAGAGCACTCGGTGATGGGACTTTGTGTCAGTTAGGCACGCGGTCAGTCACTCGGTTGGTTCCTCCCTGAGTGACTGTGTGTATGAGTGTTGTAACTATGAGCCTGTTTAGGCCGCGGAGACTAGAGTCGGCGGCCAGAGTCTCAACCCTATTCAGGACACCCACTCAAGGGAGGGTAAAACCTTCCGTTTCCACGACTCGCGGCTAGCTCTCGCTCTGCAGGGAGTTCGCTGTCGAGGCCCTAGCGGCCACCGGTAGTGCTGATGGCGTTGGTGGCTGCGATTCTGGCAGATGCCATCGGCTGTGGAAGCTTTTCCTCTCGAGAAAAATCGTGCTCACGTGCGCAGAGTACACAACCTACTCAGTTAAGAGGGCTGTTCTCTCTCCGCAATCTCAAACCTGAAGTGTAAACTTCGCGCTGGAAATTCCGTCAACGAGGCAGGGCCTGTTCCAAGAGATCAGCCAACCGGTGTATCCTCGACGAGTGTGTGCAGTCAGCGCATTCTCTGGGGATCATATACCGAGAGTGAACCCCTTGAATTAACTTCCGGTGGAATGGATAGAGGAATCGTCGACAGCGATGATGGAGCTGCTATGATTTCCTCCACAAAACTTCCTCCCGGGCATCCGAGAGGACTTATGGTGGGTGGACACAATAATTGCTGAGGATCTGTCCCCTATAGCATCGATCTTGCTGTGCACATCTAATTTTCCTCGGCTTTCTTCTCTCGCGGACTCACGGACATCGGTATTAGGTCTCACCACCGACCGCTCGGCTTTTTCTCTCTTCGAGGCGATACGTATGATCTGTATCCCCAGTCGCCTTACGCAGACATGAAATTCTAGAGAGAGGTTCCGCTACGCAGCCCGATGGTGAATCGCCATCTCCTCCGTCTAGTCTCCAAAAGTCTAGGGACCTCGATGTCGGACAAGCACGAATTCCTCCGATGCTCCCGGACCTCTTTTTAATCACTATCTGATGATTGTAGGACGCCCGGTGAAGGGAACATCCCGATTCTGTATTCATGAATCATGAACCTTAACTATCTCAATTATACGAGCGTATCACACAGATCTTCTGATTTGACTCGTATCGGGATTCGAGGAATCGCTGACTCTGTATGTCAGAGAAACCGTAATGGGGACGGTAATTGAAGTTCCCGTCCATCGTCTAATCTACCCTTTTAGCGCCTCGTCACAGCTCCAGCAAGATCTGCGTTCAAACGTTCAAGCAGTTTCGAACCTTGGGCTCCCAGGGCGGCGCGAGATATGAATATTTCCGGTCCCCGGGACATCCCGCTCTTTCTCGGTGAGTACATCCTCGAGGATTGCGCCACAGCACTGTGCCATACCCCCCGATTCGTTCTTGACTCGGCTTCGTCGCGTGTCGCGACTGAGCTCAGCTCATCGATGAGATAAGTATATGACCCACTACGGACAGTTCGGCGTACTCCAGCTGATGGACGCGAGAGCGTCTCTGGGGGCGAGAGCAAGAATGATCGTACGGAAGGATGATCCATGATGGAATATAGCCAGTTTATTGACCCCCATCGCGACCTGTGAACGCAACGCTGCGTCCATACGAATCCTAACAGTCGTCACATTACGAGAGGGATTCCAAGCTCCGACTGGATACAATTCGGTATTGCCTTAGCACCTAAAGAGGGTTTTGACAAATCGTGAGCTTATACGGAGCTTGGGCCTCAGATACTAACTTCGGGGGGCGGATCGCGAGAATCTTGCCAACATTCATGATAGATTCGCCTAAGTTCAATTGGCAATTCCTGGAAGCCGATGAGGATATGATGCTTCGGATGATAGTATCAGCAGCCTTGAAAAAGTCGTCGACTTTAGGTTCCAGTTCATATCCGATCGTATTTCCGTCCGGATCAGAAACGATTCGGCAAGCCAAGCCGGATTCCGAGGGATGAATGTTTCCGCGAGCACATAACTTTATTTCTCTCCCCCTGCAGCCGAATCCGTAGGTACTCGAGCAGCTGGTGGTTGCGATTTCCGATTCATTCCATCTTGAAGGTTCGCTGATTTGCTTCAGACGAGTCCAACGAAAGCTTGTGGCGAACAGAGCAGCAAGCAAGGAACCAAGCGAGGGTTTCCCAGTGTCTTCGTCAGAGAGGACGAATCTTTTGTCCCTCGGGAGCGAATCGCGCGGCGAGAGGTGATCCCGATCGGGCATTTTCGGGCCTTCCGTGATTCAGGATCACGGATGAGGAAAATGCCCGATCGGCCGCATGACCCTGCGCCAAACAATCACCGCCCCCCTTCCCGGATGGCGGTCCTTGAGGCAGGAGAATCTCTGGCATTTCGTTCTGGGAAACAAGGGTAAATAGAAGCAAATTGAAGAGAAGAGAAGGCTCAAAATCGTTACATGTTCGCCAGCATCCTGCAATGGTCTCCAAATCATTGCTCAATTAACCCATGAGCCGAATCTCGATCAGTGACGCATCGAATCGGACGGTGGTGGAAACTCGCTGACCCAAGACACGAGTATCCAGGCGTGCATCACGCTGCATTGATGCCGGCGTGAAGTTTCAACAACGTTTTCCGTTCTCATGTACCAGATTTTTTTTGTATACGGTCCAGGGTCCGGCTTCAGAAGCTCCTCTAGACCCATCCCGATAAATAACAGCCTAGAATTTGAGTCTTCCCCTGTCGGATCGATCCCGATAGGTATGCGGGGGAATTCCCTATAGAGATTGAATCTGTTGTGCGCTACAATCGGCACCTCGTAGTCGGTTCCGAGTGTGACTCCCGTCGGCACCGTATATCAACACCCCGACAAAATTTTATCTCATCCCGATTTCGTCGTGATTGAATCGCAGGTGAGAGTCGTCGACCGGCTCTGCAGTCGGATGAGCTGATCCAGACCGACGGTTGATGAGGTATGTACTTGATGCCCGTCTACCTCTCTGACATCAATCCTGATCCGTCGGTGATTGATGGTTTTCAGACATTGATATCGAACGAAATCGGTTTGTTCTCTTGCGCGCCGAGGAGGTACCGCGTAGATGCATTCATCCTCATGGGCGGTGCGGCTGCCCGAGCCGGTGGGAGCGGCGCTGTTGTCCGCAGGGGTGGTGGGGGCGGTGGGGGTGGAAGGTCCATTTCAGTGGTGTCGACGATACTGTTACTTTTGCACGAGGATGACGAGGCCGACTTGAGACGGATTAAACGACCTTGTACTTGGCCTTGCTGAGAGATGACAGTCCCGTCTTTCTTGACGCTTTTCAGGGATCCGGTCGCCGGCAAGGGAGCCTGTTGTATGTTTGATGGCAGCATGATGCGGTGGTGAGAGCCTCTGCGAACGGTCCGTCGGCGCTGCGAGAAAGACATCCACTTAGATCTTGGAGCCCACAAATCAGAGCTGTCGATTCTCGGGGAGTCATCAATTCTGCGGTGGGCATGCCCGAGCATCCTCAATTACGCTACTCACCTCAACGACTCCTCTCCATTTGGCAGCGGCTTTGCTGGCGACTTCCATCCGCCGCTTCTGCTTGGCCTTGTATCGCTTGTAGTAAACCTCAATAACAATTAGCACCAAACCCCCGAAAATTCCTGCGCCAACCAATATAAAAACACCAGCCATATTTGTCAGTCCAAGGGTTGCTGGCGTTCGTTCTAGCTTGCTTTCGCAGCGTCGGCCTCCGTTATGAATCCAACGTGAGTCGAGCTGCTCCATGTGGCCACTCTCGTGCATCTCGAGCAATGCGAGTGTGACCTTGTCCACCCAAAAGGAATTCCTCTGCAGTGCGACTCCATAGCCTGAACGTCCGAACTGTTCGCCTGCGGTCACGAGGTCACAGTGCCGCGCAGCTTCGTATTCGAGTCGTGACGAGTCCCAGATGAACGCGTCAATGTTTCTGCGGGGTGAAGAGACAACGACCTCAAGCTACTCTCCTCACAAAATGATTAATCGGGGTCCTCATGCCCTGTGGGGATACAGCACATTCCAGCCAGCACTCAGGCTCACCCATTCATAAGCGCATCAATGCCGTGGTCCACCGTGTCGAAATTCTTGCCCTCCATGATGCGGTACATATTCTGTAGTTCCACTTGTCGCTTGAAATAAGTGTCAACAGCACTGCCTCGCACGGTAGCATAAGTGAAGTTTTCCGACGGATTCCTCAGACGAGGATCGTTGATGCCCGATAAAGAAGACTCAGGTTTTTCCAACACAAGGAAAGCGGCCAAATTAGCAGTGTACGAGGCTACGACTATCATGGCGAAGCCTGCCCAAACCATTCCAAGAACTCTTCCTACAAGAGAGGACGAAGAGCTAGAATAAGCTACACCGGAACAATCCTCAACCCTGGTCTCGTATGAATGAGATCCGCAAGGATAATTCCCTAGAATACGGCGCTCGCTTACCTGAAAATGACCGAGGAGTGCCCTCCGCTATTCCCGAGTTGAGCAGAACACCCCACGCAAACCAAAGTGCAGAGGAAAGATTCAAGCCGTCCTCGTCCCGTTCGCTCGGAGCGACTCGATAGTTCCCGAATGGACTAAATCTGAATTTCAAAAGTTCGATATGAGACGCGTTTCCAAGGAATCACAAGAATCAGCTTTGAACCGTAGAAAGAATCATTTCACCTGTCCAAAAGATAAAGACCCAATGCCACTACATGAACTGAGAACACGACAACAATCCACAACGACTTTTGGAAAGGCTGAAGGAATGACGCCAGGGTGGAACTCTTATCTTGCTGAAATCGAAAAAATATTGGAATCATCATTTTTTCGTCTTATTATTTTTTTCATCGCCGATCGATCGCTGTACCGGGCGATTTCTCTCTCCCAGGGAGGAACGAGAATTGATCCTTGCCTTCTTAGCGAGTATGGTGATTCCTTGATATTTAAATGGTTTGGTGAAATCGACTTCTAATGATCTCTCCGGGGTTATCGTCAATGGTGCGACAACCATGTCGGCTCTCTTGCGCACTAGATCTCCGATTAGTCCCGTCCAGACCCTCCGTCCTTCCTCCTTGCTCTGGAACCGTAAATTAAGAATTAGATCGATGAAGAATCGAGGCATCCGGTGAGAGCTCCGAAGCTCACGAAATCATTTCCACTGGTGCTCACCGGCTCGAGGTTCCCATACTGAGCGTCTTCGACGAGATACAGATCGTAGCTGAAGTTGAGTTTTGAGGAAAGGACTTTGAGGAGATCCATGCAGTATCCGAAGCAGCAGTAGACTTCGTCTGACTTCGAAGATCTGTTGTACCAAGGGCACAGCGTCTCGTTGGCATAGCATTCACCCATGCCGTTCAGTTGTCTGGTCCATACGAAAGGACGTTCGGCTAATGTTGCCACCTGCAGAACAGTGGACGTGTCAGGCTTACTGCCGTTGGTTTCACGCGACGAGCGCTGTAGCTCCAGTGTGAATTATTGACTCAGGCCATCGTTCCCTAGAACTCACCCTGAGATGCTTGGGAATGACGAATCCTAGCGGCTTCTCCTTCGAGCCGCCGGGCCATAGAACGTATTCGAGGTTTATGTTCAGTTCCATTTCGTTTTTCCATTCGTTGTAAGCATACTCGCCCACTTTGACCAGATGACTCTCCCTTTCCTGGGGAGAGAGGAGAACAAGATCCGTTTCAGGGAGTTTCTACGTTTTTCGCGCCCGCGCAAATATTTCTCTGAGGACCAGGGTTGCGGCTCTCGATGCATGAGTCGTCGGGTTCGCCTACCCGTTGAATGTTGAAGATCACATAATCGCTGTTCAATCTGTCTCCTTTGTCGTCGAACTTGACATGCCCAGTTTCACCGCTCATCAGAATTTGCTCCTTCAGAATGCTGCGCGAGGTCGAAAACTCCTTAGAAAAAAAACTTTCTCTCTCATCGGGACGGAAGAATATCAGAGCCTACGACGCTTACCTGACAAGCTTGAGGCCGGCATCCCAATTGTGTTCGAGACTGCTACAATTCAGCCTGGGAGCGGAGACGCTCGCATCGCGCTGGAGCTTTTTGAGGGCGATCGCGATTAGGTTCACGGAATCGCGGATGTGGGCGCGTTCGTCCACTGCGTTCACCAAGTCTAGGCCTAGAACGCCTGGAAGTATCAGGATGTTCGTTATCGACAGCTCTTCTACCTGGAGGAAACGTCTTCCCTGTCTTCTCCGAGCGCACAGACCCCGTGAGTTTCCGGTCGCAATGCAGAAGTATCGACCTCGAAGAGAGGCTCGCCTTCGACAGCGATCAAACCTCAAAACCTCTCGATGGGGAAGCCCTGGCTACGGCCCAGCGCGTTCCGCATGCAAATGGGACCGACAGGCTGTAGAAGCGAATCACGTCGTCGATCTTCGTGCACTTACCATCGGGACAGTTTGGTGCTTTGAGGGCTTGTTCAGAAACTAACCACACATATCCAGCAGTAGTCATTTCGAGCTTCTTCACGACGTCGAATATTTTGGTAGCTTCGTTTGTGCTGAAAGAAATGAAAGTGTGATATATGCATTCCCGATCACGCGATCGGTGACCGTCGGAGGAGCGCTTTCGGAAGCGAAGCGGGGAGGCAATAATAATAATCGGTTCAGAACTCTGAATCTCTCAAGACTTTCAGAATGTTGTAGAGAGTGTTCTCTGGTCTCGGTCAAGCTCTGATGGATGATTGTGCAGAGTCCCGCTCCCGAAAAGGATATCTAGATCTCGGATCATCTGCTGGTGCAATCTAAAATTTCGTCGCAGACGTGGATCGCATCGGAACGCTCCTTATCGATGTCTGGATATACTCACTCGGCATACAAGACGTACACCCGGCAGTGTCTCCGGGACGCGTTTCTCAGTTCGGCTGCCAAATCTGTGGTGTCCGACTCGAATTCTATGACATGCTCAATCTGAAATCCGAACCTCCGGTCAGAGGCGTGATGCATGATTCATGAATGCATCTTCAACGATCGTGGGACTTGTCAGAGCCCGCACCAGGTGAAGGAGAACGAGGGAAGGGGGATTATTGTTCTCGCAGAATTGATATACATACGTGTACGACGTTCTTCTCTCGCGCTGCCACATTATGGAATCTCCCCAGAGTGGCTCTTCCGTCGTTGTCGGACGAATGAATGAACACAATGCTGCTGTAGCCTAGATGTCGCAGCAGCTTTATCCACACATCTGCTTGATGAGAATAGGGCGGAACGGTGCGTAGAAATGTCTTGTGGAGGTTCTGCATGCGGATAAGAGAAGAATACCATTAGCTGCTTGTCTAAACCTAAGTTCGCCTCTTAGCGTTCGTCTCGACACGTTCTGCAATTATTCCGGTCCCCTGCTCCCTCTCAAGAGGTTCTCGTGGTTGTATAGGTATGCATAGATCGGATTGGATTTTGCCTGAATTCAGGAAAAAATACGATTGGAAATTCTGCTGTCTCAGTCGTTCTCCGGGAATACCTCGGATTCGATAAGTTCAGTCACTCCTTCCCCCGACAGTAGCCGCGTCTCGCGAATCGAGTTGGTTGGGTGTTCTCGGAACCCTCGTGGAGCTCACTCGCATCGGGCTCGTGCAATAAAGTCGCATCAAGAGACACTGAGACGGATAAGAATTTCCGAGGCACGTTTTCCGTAGCTCGAAGCTGCGTGCCTCCATTCCTTCTGCATTCTCTCCCGAGCCTCTACGCCTAAACTTGCAATGAGTTTCCCCTCAGACGATTCCGCATTCCTTTCGTTTGATTCCACTGTGGAAGGCTCTTGCTCATTGTCTACAAAAAATGAGGTCCGCTTCTCTTTCCAGTCCCTATGGGTCTGCTGTGGGTCGCCTCTGGGTCGGCGCTGCCGCTTCCCGATGTCTTCAGCCCCGGAACGATACCCCCGATAAGGAGTTTCGGAACGAGGCATGACCGCTATGTGCGCTGAGCTCAGCTTGCCACGCTGACGAGTTTCCGGAATCATCCGGGAAAAAGCTTCGTCTTTGGATCTCTCCTACTTGAATGGACTCAGCGAGGGTCAGGCTGGCAGACCGTGAAGGGCAACATCAGGAAAGAATCAATAGCCACACCCTGGAGCGCTTGACATGTGTCACATCAGCTGCGCTGACCCCGGATAGGAGGAAAGGGGTACGGGCCTACGATGGAACACCCGTGATTCGCGTTCAATTCAAAGATTGCTAATCCGTTTCCGAGCGTAATTCTAGTCTCCGCGTAGGACGCACTCACATTGTGAAGTGATTTCATCACTTCACCATTTCTTCGCCACCTCCTCTCTCCCTCCTAAGGTACACTATACAGCCGGTCGGCGATTGAGGAATCGATGCCATGCACATCTGCAGGCCATCCCTAGACTAAAACCTCGTGGAAGTGATTCTAAGTCCTCACCGAAGACCCGGGAGCTGTCTGACCCACCTTGTCGGATAGCGAGCTATGTCTAGAGCTGATTCCTATGACGGGAATGCTGTAGAAGCCACAGGTGTACGAAACTGCGGCAGGTGAGAGCTCGCCCTTCATCGGACTCGAAATCACCACCGCATAAACTGCAACGGATGGTCGAGCTCAGTCTCCTCCGCTCAATAGACAGCGGACTAATTATAATTATAGGTGCATTGCGACAACTAGTATTAGGGATAATACCAACGGGAGTCGACAGCCTCTCCGAGAGTAGGAAAGCTGGATTTTCTGAATCAGACTCACCTTTCTGCGAAATTAGTTCTTCGCAGACGTTTTCTGCCATCCGAATCGGGTTCAAATTCATGTGAACAGTTTTCGACTTGAGGCTGATATCGTATGTCGCCATCGCGTCCGCGATGGCTTCTTCGAAGTATTGGATGCCCTCAGGTGGACTCAGAACTGCACCAATATTGAAAACCTGGTCCTGTGGGGGACCAGAGGAAAGCTCCTGGGCGGTTCTGCAGATAGAACAATGACTTATTTTGATCACGGATCGCTTTCGAGTCAGACGAACTGAGAGCTCCAGCCACTCCCGCTGTTGCCTCTCAGGTCCCCAGGGGTTTCGCAGCGACGCTGCTTACTAGCTTTTGCATTCGCAACGGTTTAATCGAATTACCCAACCCCCTGTGACGTGCCCGACATCGTGGCGGGCACTTCTTTCGCAAGTGTTGGAATTTCCGAGTTTTGAGCGTCGGCTCGACCTGCCGTCTCTCGGAAACACGTCCTCTCGAGAGCGACAGGCGAGTGAGCTGATTAGCTCTTGCAAGAGCCTCCTTCCCGGAAAAGATCGCTGTACGTAGGAGTATCACGATCGTCGAGCCATTCCTCCGGTCTCTGTAGACTCCCGTGAACTCTCAGTTTATGCGACGACAACAAGGCGTGGATCTTAGGGACATACTCGAACCCCTCAGGACAAACAAGAAGAGTTCGGGATACTTACGCGGAAGGAGTCCCCTCATTCAGCAAGACTAAACTGAGCACGACTAGAAAGAAGTCGATCTGCTTGCGTCTCGAAGCATTGAGTGTCGGAAATAGCGAAGTCGTAACTTTTCGGGCAGTCGGCGCCATTCTCGGACGGCGATCCGGTTGATCTGTGTGATTCAATGTGGGTTTCTGATGCTGAGTATACATTTGTATCGTCCGCCTTGAGCGCGTAATGTTGAAGCGGTTCTGTGAGATCCTCCAGTCTCGTGTACTGGAATCGAACGGAGAGAGTCAACGCCCAACGCCCTACACAGGCCGTATTCTCATGTCATTTCCCTCATTTGGACAGGGAACATTGAGTTCGCCCAAGATGATCGTTTCGTATCGAAGTCTCGACTCTCCGACGCATTCTCTCAGCTGGCATCGAAAAATAGACCTACTTGAATTTCCTTCTCCTCGAGCTTCGATACGGAGAAAGAGACGATGACGCGGTCGCACAGCTGGCTTTGCTTGCTCGCGAAGCGTATCCAGTGTCTGTAGCCGATGCAGCGGCAGGAGCAGTATGCAGTCCTTTGCGAACGGATTTCAAACCTATAACGTCGTGCAGAGTCACCGTTCAGGACAGGCGGAGCGGGCGGGCGATGCTGACTGCTTTCAGCAAGCTCAAGGGTCGGAACTAGTGGCTGCTCTCCAGAGCGTCAAGTCCAAATCGATTCGACGCTTGTTGAGATGTTTTCGCTAACTTGCGGCTTTGTCACGATTCCACTAACGCATTGGTTGCAATGAGGCTCCGACGCACGAACGAGCACAGGAAGGAACGACGGGACGACGGAATCGGCAGCGACGAGAGCTACGACCAATACGGCAGCCAGTCAGATTGGGGAACGCATATCTGCTATCAGGGGTAGATGAGCAGTAGCAGCAGCGCAGTACAAGCTTCAATTCATGCTCGAAAAGGTCCTAGATGAAAGCTGAGCCCTTGTTGCTCCTAGGAGTCTGAGGATGAAGAGGTCGCCAAGGGGACCCGATCTTGCTTTGGGGGACACCGATGGCGCCACCGTCATCGTCGGATGGGTTCACTCCTCCGTGCTCCCATACAGCCCATAAAATTCGTCTTTCATGAGATCTAGAGACTTCTTGAGGATATGGATTCCGATAATCATCTCGTGACTGAGCGGAAAACTAGGAGGAGTTCCGAATGAATCAGGCGCGTACGGACTAATTTTCTATCCGGAGCATACTCCGATAGCACCGGGAAAATGAAATGGTATGCACATTGGTGCGCTGCATGCGGATGCACTGAAGGCCCTTGTCCTCATGTGTCCCGAACATCAATAATAATAGGCGTCCCCTCCCTCGTGCTGTGCCAATCCTCCACGATTTGAGGTGCGGTATCTGAAGTTTCGATATCAACCCCGAGCTTGCCACCACCGATCGGTTTCCGAGCCGTCGAGGAGAACGAGGTCTCCGATCATGGCTGCCTCTGCAGATAGAACACTGTTCCATTCTCTGTGATTCCAAATGAGGAGAGGCCTCGTCGAGATCGCACATACATCATGAGGTCGAAGGATTTTTGAATTCATCAATTCCTTGTCGGGGCTCGGACGGAGCACGGCTGCTGTCACTCATGCGGTCAGAGCGTTTATGTAGATCCCTGTTGAGCAGATGGAATAATTTTCAGTTCGACATCACTAACCTATTAACGGATCTGTGCAGATATCGTTCGTCCTCACTCATGAGCAAATCCCTGATTCACGCCTGGATGACTTTCCAATATCCGCAGCGACAATAATATTCTATTCCTCTCGTTACGCTATTGACTCTGAACGAGCATCTCTAGGTTGCCATCTTTAACTGCGGACGGCTTCTGTGTTCCTTTACGTTCTCACAGTCATAAGTCATAATACAGCCCCGGAGTGGAAACGAGTTGCCGGAGAAACGGAGGAGGCGGCGAAATATCCTGTCATTTACCGTGGCCCTCCTTCCCCATCTCTAATCTTAATCCCGGGTGCGAAGTTGTCAGGACTCGCGGTTCGAAAGAACGGTGACAAACGGAGGAATTCGCGGCTGAAGCCCGACGTGGTCGTTCCAACCCTGACGACTACCAGCACCCTCGAACGTCGAGCGCAGGAACACTCAGAAATCGTCGGAAGCAATATCCACGGAGAGGAAACCATACAATGTATCCTCGCGGAGTTCCCGCAAGCCCTAGATGGAGCAAAAGAGACTCGGCGAGATAGGCGCCCGAACACTCCGTGAGCTATCCACAAACCGCCAAGGAAGCAAGGTTTCGAGAGGGAGCATCCCGACCCAATTACCTGAGAATTGATGAGGCTGCTGTTGGGGAGAAGGTGAGTGGTAATAAGTCACCTCAACAATGGCAAGCGCTGCGGCAGCAGCAAGGTAATGATGATCGAAATCATCATCGTTACTGCCCCCTTGTCAGTGAAATATGGACACGAACCTTTCTGTACGGAGAGCATTGGCAGCTCGGACGACCGACGGTGGGATGTCTGACGTCGTCGCTACTTCCGGAAAGCACTTGTTGAACGTATTCCGAACGTCGGCGCGGGACAAAGGAGCAATATTTATGTGTATTTGTTCGGCATTCGTTATTGCTCGCGATATCTCGCGGATTTTCGAGACAGCCAACCACGCGCAGGGGGGATCGATTCTGACTTTCTGCTTTCCGAATTCCTCGCTCCGATTCTCGTGAGGAGAACTCGCGATGCTCCTATCGACTGAATAAGTCTGATATCAGGTATTGTACAGATTGTCGTGAAGGGGGAGGTCGTGAAGGTACCATCGTTCCCCCCGCACTGTCTACAAGGGCTTCTTGCAGGCTGGCTGCAACTCACCCGATGAGTGACGTCACGCCCTCGGTGAAGTCCCGAAGCGGATACTTCGGCCATCCCTATGGGGGCGCCGTCTCCTGCAAGCCAGAGGGCTCGACGGGCGTAAGAATCTGTGTTCGGAGGATCTGTTCACGCCTCAGCCAATGAACGCCATCTCTGCTGAGAAGCGGTCATTATGAATACACGAGACTCAACTTGATCACACCTCCGTTGTTCTCTAGGGCTCTGTGACTGAACTCGGGAGGCATCAAGTCGGAGATCATCGCAGTGTATTCGAGCTATACAAAGAATAGAGCTCGGAGAAGCCGATCCGTTCGAAGCAATAGATCGCGAACAGGTCTTTCGGTGGAGGGCCGACGTGGCGCTGCGAAATAAATTTACTCCGCCGTGTTCCGGCGCTCCGCCAGGACGCAGAGTGTACTAAATCAAGGCGTTTCATGGAGCCGCTCCCCATCGTTAGAGAGTTCGACTCCGGTCTGGATTGAAGGTTGTGACCCAACCCCCGGTTCAAACTCAGGTTTCTAGGCAAATAGCCATTCAGTGAAAAACAAAATTCTGCACCGACCGAGAGCTCGCTCCGAGATGAACATCAACGGAAACGGATCCTGGGAACTGGGAATGTATTCGACTTGGGAAAGTCTGATGATGATGATCATAAAATGGCTGGCTTCGAATACGACGTCACAGAATGTTCGCCGTTCCGCTGTTCGTTTACTTTTCGCGAGCATATTGGGGCGGAGCAAAGAGTGCCCGCTTCAGAGCGGTCATTCGCGTACCTACAGCATGTGTGAAGTACTACTAGAAGACCGCCAAATGGCACAGCAGTCGGGAAAACGCCGAGAATGGTAATGCGGACAAAGAGTTTGCATATGGCTCGACTGCATTCGAACTTCTGCCATGGCGGAATCGTCTGGCATTCCATTCCCAGCTTCGCGTTCGCCGACTTCCATCGAGCAGGAAAAGAGTAATCGGAGAATATGTGTTATCGTTCGAGCTCCGTAAATAACGTGCGAGAACAGGACGGGGAGCGCGACGGAGCCAAGGGGTCAACCCGAAAAAGAACATCTCTCAATAGGGACGGCAGCAGTCCTCCAGCAGCATCCCCACAAGAGCTCAAGCTCAAGATCTTTTCTCTTCTCCTCCCCAACTGTCGAGAAATCCAATGTGAGTGAAATTGCATTGCTGTAAGATGGACTCGTGCGAAGCCTCGAAACTTGCTATCGCCTCCGCCGATTCACTGGAACGATGAAGAGTGCCATCTTGTCCGCATTCCGATCGGGATGATTGGACGATTTACGGTGAATGGATCATCTACCCACCTCGTATCGCCAGAATCCCAGTGAGCCCCGACTTGCCTCAAACCTCGAGACCTGAAGCCGCGAACCATCGCACCCCGACTCTCATACTCGGAGAAAACGGGTTGCACCTAGGTCTCGTATTCATGAATTTATCCCACGACACGGCCTAAACTTAACGACCGCGACCAGACCTGTCTCGCGATTCGGAGGTGGCTCGTCGAACCCGATTCACTCACCGTCCGGATAATTGGACATTGTGGCTGGGTGTCCGCTCGTGGCATAGTCGGAACTCCACCATATCGGAGAAGTTTTCCTCAACACCTGAAAGTCCTCGACCG